ACACACACACACACACACACACACACACACACACACACACACACACACACACACACACATGTGTTTTGGCTCACAATAATATGGAACCTTTTTATATAAAGTCAGACAGTTAAAGAATAAAACAGAACAAAAACAAATAAAGAAAAAATAACAGTAAAAGATTAATAACTAAACTAAACCAGCAGATTTCTGTCACAAGACTTAAGGTTTATTTTCTAATCACACGAAACAAATTTATGCTCCTTTGAGAACCAAACACATTATTTATAACAGGCGTCGTAAAATCACCTGTTTGCAGGCCTGTACGTGACAGCCACACAGTCCATATGTCTTACTTGTCATGTGCATGCGTAATCATACGCACACACTCCTAGACAGGTCACATTTTCAATGGTTTCATGTTTAACCTTTGTAGCAATAAATACAGCAGGAAGCGTTGGTATTAGCAATGTCACCTCACAACAATGAGGCTCGTGGTTCAAATCCCAACTCGAGCCTTTCTGTGGGTTTGCAGCAGGTATTCCGGCTTGTTCCCACAGCCCAAAAACATGCATGTCAGGTTCAGTGCTAATTGTAATTTATGTGAGGCACAGCAAGTGCATACAATAGAGTGCTGTTTGATAAATGGTACTCTACTTCAGCCCTTCTTACTAGGTCTAAGTGCTTTCTATCAAACATTCACACTCGCATCAGATAGCAACTTGGGGTTCAGTATCTTGCCCAAGAATACTCTGACATGCAAGCTGGAGGAGCCGGGGATCAAACCACCAACCTTCCAGCTGTTAGATGACCTGCTCTGTCTCCTCAGCTACAGCAGCCCCGATATTATATGAATGTGTGACATGTAAAGCAGGCTAAGGAGCTTGGAAAGAAAAGCCTCTGGACTTCTTTAAATTGGTCAAATGGTGGAAGAGTCCCAGATTTAAGGCCTGTGGGAGTGTCCCACCAAGAGGGACATGGACCCCCTATTGATCCTCCACCTAATCACACGAACCAAGGTGTGAAAACGGGTGGAGGTCACAATGGGCCATGGTTTCAGGTGAACCTGCTGTGAAACCTAGCTCCACCCTGTCATGTGATTTCCTTTTTGGCTTGTGTGATTAGGTAGAAGATCATTAGGGGGTCCATGTCCCTCTAGGGAGGCCACTCCCACAGGGCTTAAATCTGGGACTCTCCACAATTTGACGTTCCAACTGAAGAAGCTTCTGGGATTAGAGGTGAAACGTGTTCAAGCAACTTACAGAAGTCCAGATGCTTTTCTTTGCAAGCTCCTTAGACTACGATGACCTGGGTGACTGAGAACCTTCACAGACAAACTTGTAATATAGAGCGTTGTAGGTGTTTGCCTTTTACATTATTTAAGATAAGATAAGATAAGATAAGATAAGATAACCTTTATTAGTCCCACACGTGGGAAATTTGTTTTGTCACAGCAGGAAGTGGACAGTGCAAAAGTTATGACGCAAAAATTAGAATACAATAAGAATAAATACAGTACACAGCTGTACAGAATAGAATAAAATAA